TAGTCGATTGAGGCAGGTGTCTGGGAATCACCATAACGCGAGTTCAAGTCCCTCGAATGCCTCAAAATTATTGTCATTGACATATCACTCTTTGTGATTTCATTGCGATCTGATGTGGGACGTAATATGTGAACGCCATTACTGTAGGTTAGAGTGTGGTCGGGTTGACAATAAATCCTTGGCTAGGCTTTACAGACGAAAAATATACTTATATATTTGTAAAAACATATAAATATATATGATATATAAGTATTACAATAAACTGCGATTACGCCTAAAACAAGACGTTTTATAAATGTCAGTATACCATGTAAATTAGGCTAAACCCAAATTATATATAATTGAGCAATACTGGTATTTTTTCAATGTAACATCAACTACAAGTGTTTATCACTGAATAGCAGTCCTCGGCGTGTTAATGATCTTTAGTTTCGTAACCAAATTTAAACGCATGTTTACAGGTCATTCAAATGCAGATATTCTAAATAGAAGTATAACTGCTATACGATAAACAAACCATGACTCTAAGCATTTGTACCAGTTAGACAGTTTCTGACCCTACAATGTAAACATCATCAAGCTCCGCATATGGTAGCAACAGAAGCCTAATGACATACTTGAAGTTATTACCAAGGATTTATAAGGTCATGTAGAACTGGATTTTATATTTTGAAGGTAAAGCACACTCGGCAACTGCTTGGCGGTCTGGCAGAGTATATATAGGCAAGTCGACGCTGGTGTCTGCACTACATTCATCACTACGCCCAACAACATGAAGTTTGTACGTACTGACCTCTTGTAGCCTTAGTTGTATAGAATATGTCTTTAACATAATGGATATGTAAATTGTTCTTGAGTTTACAAACCACTTTATAGAAATTCTTTGTTAAATAATTAACTTAACGAGATATTAAAAAATATGAAAAAAAGATTGACATCGAAGGCATCAAATAGTATGTCAGAATTCTAATAAAAGTCACATAGTGAAGGAGTAAATACCCTAAATATTATCTTTCAACACAGGTTATCCTCGCCGTCGTTGTGGCCGTGGCCAGCGCCGCCCCCCAGTACGCCGCCCCTCAGGCACCTACCCGCTATTCAGAGTCAAGTGAAGAAGTGGCCATTCTGAGGCACGATTTTGTACCTGGGGACGCCGGCGCCTACAAGCTTGATGTGGAGACTGCCAACGGCATCGTTGTATCCCAGGCTGGCTCTCCCAGTGGCCCAGAGGGCGCTGTGGTCAAGACCGGACAGTATTCGTGAGTATTCCAATGTAATTGTAATATTTGTGGACTATATGAGATGTTATTGCTTTCGATAATTGTTTACACTTAAAATTTGCTAAATCTTTATATAGATTAAGCACTCTAAATTTGCTAAATCTTTAGCAAATTTAAAGTGTGTAATCAAATGCAATTTGAAACACAAAATAAAAGCTTTTCCCCACAGCTACACTGCTCCTGACGGCACTCCTGTCCTCGTTAAGTTCGTCGCCGACGAGAACGGCTACCAGCCCCAGTCTGACCTGCTGCCAGTGGCTCCTGAGTTCCCTCACCCAATCCCCCAGTTCGTGCTGGACCAGATCGCCTTCGCCGCTCAGGAGGACGCTGCCCGCGCCCGTGCTCCTTCTGCCAGCTATGGCGCCCCTCAGTAAAAGTAGCAACAAGGGAAACCTGTCGATCAGACAACCAAATATCAAACGTTACACGATAATTCCTTCTGATCACCAAGAGTAATTTATTGCTTAAATATTATTTATGTCTTGGGTATGTAAATAAAACTGATACAATTATGACATTTTGTTTTATGACCATAGAAGAGTTTTCTATATTACCGTTTTTATTATTGTATTATTATAGCAAAAAATATAAATACTTACCACAACCTGTCAGGTTGTGAGTTTACAGTTGTTACTCACACCCACTGTAAACTTAATACTGTCTTACGACCATTTTCATTAACTATCCAAAAAAGGTTTTGTACCACCTGGTCTTCATGAAAAGACCGAGCTTCATTTTTGTATCATTTAAATATATTTTATGTCTTGTCTAAGTTCTGTCAAAATTCTGAAGGCTAACATCTCCTACCGATGACTCCTGAAGTCTGCACACTAATTTAGTTACCGCGGTTTATCTCGGGTCTCACTGGTCACATGAGCGATCACAGCGCCCTCACTACAGTTCACATGAGCGATCACAGCGCCCTCAATACAATTCACAAGAGCTAGCACCGCGCCCTCAATACAATTCACAAGAGCTAGCACCGCGCCCTCAATACAGGTCACAAGAGCGATCACAGCGCCCTCAATACAGGTCACAAGAGCGAGCACAGCGCCCTTACCACAGGTCACAAGAGCGAGCACAGCGCCCTCACTACAGGTCACAAGAGCGAGCACAGCGCCCTCACTACAGGTCACAAGAGCGAGCACAGCGCCCTCACTACAGGTCACAAGAGCGAGCACAGCGCCCTCACTACAGGTCACAAGAGCGAGCACAGCGCCCTCGCTACAGGTCACAAGAGCGATCACAGCGCCCTCACTACAGGTCACAAAAGCGATCACAGCGCCCTCACCACAGGTCACAAGAGCGAGCACAGCGCCCTCACTACAGGTCACAAGAGCGAGCACAGCGCCCTCACCACAGGTCACAAGAGCGATCACAGCGCCCTCACCACAGGTCACAAGAGCGAGCACAGCGCCCTCACCACAGGTCACAAGAGCGAGCACAGCGCCCTCACTACAGGTCACAAGAGCGAGCACAGCGCCCTCACTACAGGTCACAAGAGCGATCACAGCGCCCTCAATACAATTCACAAGAGCTAGCACCGCGCCCTCAATACAATTCACAAGAGCTAGCACCGCGCCCTCAATACAGGTCACAAGAGCGAGCACAGCGCCCTCACTACAGGTCACAAGAGCGAGCACAGCGCCCTCACCACAGGTCACAAGAGCGAGCACAGCGCCCTCACTACAGGTCACAAGAGCGAGCACAGCGCCCTCACCAAAGGTCACAAAGACCACACTGACAATTTACTCTTTTTCTCTGCCCCAACAATTTCACGTCTTGTATGCTTCAAAATGTCGTTGTTTCTACTTAACTGTCCATTTTACTTTCATATTGGAGACCAGCAAACACCTCTTTTTTTCCCCCTTGAACATTCCATTGTAGTGTATGTTGTGATAAACTATACAAGCCCGGGGAATGAAAGTCTTCACGCTGCGATTCATGTTTCCCAAAGCCAAAGTCGAGGATGTCAGCTGGGTCACCCATCCAGAGATGGTGTTAAGGTGACTGACCAAATGGATCATAACAATTATCATTGTCATGATAATTCCCAGTCATATTAAAAATGTTTTTTTCACTCAGCTTTGTATTTTACTGTTATGATGTAAAGAGCATTCACGTACTAAAAATCTTCGGAAATCAATTACTAAGTGTAATAAAAGGGTACTATTTACCATATGAATGAGTTATTGGCAAGGATAACCTTCATTACAGTGCACGCTTTCGAACAGTGCACGGACAGTGCCGGACAGTGCACGCGACACATGCTCGACGAGTACTGGGATATGTCGGTCCGGTCACACAGTGCTCTCCAGCACCTCGCCTTCTCTACCTGTCACAACGTCACAAAATTGATTTACTAAATTATCCGAACCTAACCTAACTGACGACTCCCCGAGAATGTTGCGACGCTCTGTGATTCACAGTACGGCATATTTTGACGTTGGCGTTTGATGCGTTAATATACGATGTATTATTCGAGAGGACAGGTTGGAGAGAGCGACTTATATCCCAACTATTGAGTCTACATCATCACTAATGCAGGAGTAAAATAAAGCGCCATCTTTTTCCCGAAAGAAAGTCCCGAAAGGGTAAGATTAATAATTCTAACAAGAATCATCTCAATATTTCTTACGTTTTTCTTCACTGTCGTGTGTAATTGAAAAATTAACTCTCCATAGTTCATTTTTTACATTTTTATTTAAGGTCTGATGCCTAGAAGCATTTCGCCAGATTCTCACATTTTCAAAGACATTTTTATGTACTCAAATTCATGATAATATTTGATTTTGGGTGAGGTGATAGGATTCAAATGATTTGGGTGAGATGACAGGAAACAAATCAATGGGAAAAGACAGAACACGAAACAATGGATATAAATAAGGTATACAATTTATCTGCTTGCTTCTGTGCTGGTTTGGGGTCTTGAAGAGGGTAGAATGTAATTTTGCGTTACTTGGATGTTTATTGCTAGTTTTGACTTTTTGATGTGTAGGGCCTCGCTGATGTCGAGCCTCCTGTTCGCGTTGTATCTGTCGATAATATCTGTGTTGTTTGTAAGATTTCTCTGGAGATGGTCTGGTTATGTGAAGACATTATATGCTCCTTGATGAAACCACTATTGTTTATGCATTGTTAATCACCTAGAAAGACACATTGTTGTCTTGCGTATTTACTGAGATCTTTGGGGCTGACAGTCCCCAAGTGGGCATGTGAAAGTCGTCTATACCTTCACATGCCCACTTGGGTATGTTTTATATAAACACATATAAATATATATGATATATAAGTATTACAATAAACTGCGATTACACCTAAAACGAAATGTTTTATAAATGTCAGTACACCATGTAGACAAAACCCAAATTATATATAATTGAGCAATACTGGTATTTTTTCAATGTAACATCGAGTGCAAGTGTTCAACACTGAATAGCAGTCCTCGGCATGTTAATAATCTTTAGTTTCGTAGTCAAATTTAAACACATGTTTACAGGTCATTCAAGTACAGATACTCTAAATTTAATATAAATATTATATGATAAACAAACCATGACTAAGCGTTTGTACCAATGAGACGGTTTTGGGTACTACTATGTAAACATCATCATGATCCACAAGTGGAAGCAACAGAAGCCTATTATGTACTTGATGTCATTACCAAGGATTTATAAGGTCATGTAGAACTGGATTTTATATTTTGAAGGTAAAGCACACTCGGCAACTGCTTGGCGGTCTGGCAGAGTATATATAGGCAAGTCGACGCTGGTGTCTGCACTACATTCATCACTACGCCCAACAACATGAAGTTTGTACGTACTGACCTCTTGTAGCCTTAGTTGTATAGATTATGTCTTTAACATAATGGATATGTAAATTGTTCTTGAGTTTACAAACCACCTTACAGAAATTCATTGTTAAATAATTAACTTAACGAGGTATTAAAAAATATGAAAAAATTGACATTGAAGGCATCAAATAGTATGTCAGAATTCTAATAAAAGTCACATAGTGAAGGAGCAAATACCAAAAATATTATCTTTCAACACAGGTTATCCTCTCCGTCGTTGTGGCCGTGGCCAGCGCCGCCCCCCAGTACGCCGCCCCTCAGGCACCTACCCGCTATTCAGAGTCAAGTGAAGAGGTGGCCATTCTGAGGCACGATTTTGTACCTGGGGACGCCGGCGCCTACAAGCTTGATGTGGAGACTGCCAACGGCATCGTTGTATCCCAAGCTGGCGCTCCCAGTGGCCCAGAAGGCGCTGTGGTCAAGACCGGACAGTATTCGTGAGTATTCGAATGTAATTGTAAAATTTCAGGACTATATGAGATGGTATTGCTTTCGATAAAAGTTTACACTTGAAATTTGCTAAATCTTTAGCAAATTTAAAGTGTGTAATCAAATGCAATTTGAAATACAAAAATAAAATAATTTCCCCACAGCTACACTGCTCCTGACGGCACTCCCGTTGTGGTGAAGTTCGTTGCCGACGAGAACGGCTACCAGCCCCAGTCTGACCTGCTGCCAGTGGCTCCTGAGTTCCCCCACCCAATCCCTCAGTTCGTGCTGGACCAGATCGCCTTCGCCGCTCAGGAGGACGCTGCCCGCGCCCGTGCTCCTTCTGCCAGCTATGGCGCCCCTCAGTAAAAGTAGCAACAAGGGAAACCTGTCGATCAGACAACCAAATATGAAACGTTACACGATTTTTTCTTCTGATCACCTAGAGTAATTTATTACTTAAACAATATTTATGTCTTGGGTATGTGAATAAAACTGATATAGTTCTGACATTTTGTTTTATGACCAAAGAAGAGCTCTCTATATTACCTTGTTTATTATCTCATTATTATAGCGGAAATATAAATACTTATTACAACCTGTCAGGTAGTGAGTTTACAGTTGTTACTCGCAACCATTGTAAACTCAATACTGCCTTACGAACATTTTCATTAATCATCCTAAAAGGTTTTGTACCAACTGGTCTTCAAGAAAAACCGAGCGTCGTTTTTTTACCACAGGTCACAAGAGCAAGCACAGCGCCCTCACTACAGGTCACAAAGACCACACTGACAATTTACTCATTTTCTCTGCCGCGACAATTTCACGTTTAGGATGCTTAAAAATGTCGTTGTTTCTACTTAAGTATCCATTTTGCTGCATATTGGAGACCAGCAAACACCTCTTTCCTCCCCCCCCCCCCTTGAACATTCCATTGTAGTGTATAGTGTGATAAACTATACAAGCCCGGGGAATGAAAGTCTTCTCGCTGCGATTCATGTTTCCCGAAGCCAAAGTCGAGGATGTCAGCTGGGTCACCCATCCAGAGATGGTGTTAAGGTGACTGACCAAATGGGTCATAACAATTATCATTGTCATGATAATTCCCAGTCATATTAAAAAAAAATTTTTTCACTCAGCTTTGTATTTTATTGTTATTATGATGCGAGTATTCATGTACTACTAATCTTCGGAAATCAATTACTAAAAGAAACAAGCAGGTACTATTTACCAATTGAATGAGTTATTGGCAAGGACAACCTTCAGGACAGTGCACGCTGTCGGACAGTGCACGCTTTCGGACAGTGCCGGACAGTGCACGCTTTCGAACAGTGCCGGACAGTGCACGCGACACATGCTCGACGAGTACTGGGATATGTCGGTCCGGTCACACAGTGCTCGCCAGCACCTCGCCTTCTCTACCTGTCACAACGTCACAAAATTGATTTACTAAATTGCCCGAACCTAACCTAACTGACGACTCCCCGAGAATGTTGCGACGCGCTGTGATTTACAGTACGGCATATTTTGACGTTGGGGTTTGATACGTTAAAATACTATGTATTATTCGAGAGGACAGGTCGGAGAGAGTGACTTCTATCCAAACAATCGAGTGTACATCATCACTAATACAAGAGGTAATTATAGCGCAATCTTTTTCTTAAAGTCCTAAAACATTTTAGCGATAGGATTATTACTATATTTTTCCACAATTCATGTGACCTTTAATATTTTGAAGACCGTTTCTTAACGTTTATTTTGAGCTCTGACAAAGCTGCCTGATTTTTGATGTGATGTAATGTTGAAAGGGCTGATTAGATTCTGTAATGATCAATTATCAATTTGTTTAATTAAAAAAAAAAAAAAACAGAATATGGTGAAAAGAATTGTGCAGCAAAACTTTTCTGTGAATCAAGTCGGGCCCTGAACAAACATGATTCCTAAACAAGGCTGGTCTCTGAATAAAGATGGTCCCTAAACAAAACTGGTCCCTGAACAAGTCAGATCCCTGATCAAGGCTGGTTCCTGAACATATTAGGTCCCTGGTCATGCAAGGTCCCTGAACATAGAAGAAAGAACTATGAAACAAAGCAGAGCGATCTAGACCACCTTTCCATGAAAAAATAAAAGACGAAACAAATGAGATACATTCACCATATACAAGTCCAAATACTTGGGCTCAACGGTAGAGCGACGGCCTCGCTTCATGCAGGTCGGCGTTCAATCCCCGACCGTCCAAGTAGTTGGGCACCATTCCTTCCCTCCCTGTCCCATCCCAAATCCTTAGCCTGACCTCCTTCCCAGTGCTATATAGATAGTCGTAATGGTTTGGCGCTTTCCCGAAAATTCCCTTCCCTTCACCATATACAAGATACTTCGAGACCTTCACTTAGCGGACAAAACCAAGAGGAAACCGTAATATTCATGGCATTCCGGTGAGGTATTGTGATGCAAGAAAGCACTTATTATTATTATAAGAAGGCAATAGTGTCAGACATTGCAATAGGGGACCCCGTGATTGAAGGCAAGATACGGAAACTAACGTTCACCCTTCAAGCACATTCGAGTTCATTTGGGAGAGAATATTATTAAACTTTCTTGCCACATGGCTCATGTTGAAGACACTCGCTACACATGCTTCAACACATAATCTTAAGACATACTACATACATATCATTCTTCATAATCTGAAGAAATCGCACGCCACAGAGTGGCATATTTTAAGTTAACTAGCCTAACTAGCGCTCTAGACCTCAACGCCACGGCAAGGTAAAATCAATGCAACCTGGTGTAGGGCTCTAGCTTAGGAATACTAAATGAGCGGGTTCGAATCCTCCTCATGGATCATAGTGATTTTATCTCTGACACAGTCACCTTATTGTGGTTTCATTGTGCATTTAATGAGAAGTGTTAGAGGAGAAGTACAGAGAAGCAGAGTGCGTGGGGAGCATGCTTGAAACCCTGATTGGGCTTGAGTTGTAAGCCTTGGGAATTTTAAAGGATTCAGTGGGATCCCCAGTTGCATTGCTTTTTACCATGTCGCTGGGCGGTGGTCTAGGATGCTAGCTTGGGAGTATCAAGTGAGCAGGTTCAAATCCTCCTTAGGCCTCCTACTGATTTTCTCATTGATACATCACGTTAATGTGATTTAATTGTGCAATATCCTCTATATAATGCCCATTCACCCACTTATACACTTCGATCACGGACCTCTACCTCTTCGCCTACAGAAATAGAAAGTAAAACTAGTTTGTTCAATCTCTCTTCGTATCGAAGGTTTTTAATTTGCAGGATTGACGTTGTCCTCCTACCATGTTGTGAATCATTTATTATTCTATTTTTTTTCAAGATGTTTAACTCTACCTGACTAACGATCAATTGAATATGCTAAACAAGGGTTAACAAATATCTTTCTCACATTCTTTAAGCACCCTGGCATTGTTCTCCCTTGGAGAATAATGGGAAGCTGCACTTTCTGGATATAACAGTCACAGAAAGGAGCGGAGGTTTTCACACTGCAGTCTACACTAAGGAAACAAACATACGAATGTGCCTCAATGCTAATAGTGACTGCCCAGACAGGTACAAGAGGAGTGTTGTCAACGCTTACGTCGACCGTGCTCTCAGCCATAGCTCGGGATGGAAGGAAGTCGATGAAGAACTCTGTAGGGTAAGGCAGGTCGTAGTCAACAACGGCTTCTCTAACGGTTTCATTGAAGACATCATAATAAGAAAGGTGAAATGTCATGCAACCTCTGAAGAGTCAACCAACACAATACTTGTACCCCCAACTAGACTATTTTACAGGAACTTCTTTTTGACGGCTCAAAAAACGGAGGAAAGGGTCCTGAAAGATATTGTTGACAGGAATGTTATCCCTACAGACAAAAAAAAATACAATTGATGATTTATTATAAAACCAAAAAACGGCCAGTCTACTCATGAAAAACTCCGCTGACACCAAGTAGAACGCTTTGAAGGAAACCAACGTCGTCTATGCCTTTAAATGCCCACTTGAGGACTGTAAGCCCCAAAGAACTCAGTTTATAGGCAAGACAACAACGTCTCTTTCCAGGCTACTAACAATGCATAAACAACAGGGTTCCATCAAGGAACATGTAATCTCCTCTCACAACTAGACCATCACCAGAGAAATCTGAACAAACAACACAAAAATCATCGATAAGTACAGCGATAGCAGACGGCTCGACATCAGCGAGGCACTACACATAAAAAATTCAACACCAGCAGCCAACAGCCAAATAATGCACAACAATATTCTACCCACTTGAAGGCACCGTATGGGCCAGTAGGCCCTCTCCAGTTACTTCCATTCTCAAGTACCCACCTCACCCAATACCCACCTTACCCAAAACCAATAGGAAGCAAGAGTTATGTCAAATGTTTCATACACAGTGTATCAAGTGTGTGATACATACACAGTGTATCAAGTGTGTGTGTAATCAAGTGGAAAAGACAGAACGCGAAACAATAGGTATAAATGAGGTAAACATTTTATCTTCTTGCTTCTGTGCTGGTATGGGGTCTTGAAGTGGGTAGAATGTAATTTTGCGTTAATTGGCTGTTTATTTCTGGTTTTGACTTTTTGATGTGTAGGGCCTCGCTGATGTCGAACCTCCTGTTATCGTTGTATCTGTCGATAATATCTGTGTTGCTTGTTAAGATTTCTCTGGTGATGGTCTGGTTGTGTGAAGAGATTATATGCTCCTTGATGGAATCCCTATTGTTTATACATTGTTAATCGCCTAGAAAGAGACATTGTTGTCATGTGTATGTACTGAGATCTATGAGGCTGACAGTCCCCAAGTGGGCATGTGAAGGTCGTCTATGCCTTCACATTACCACTTGGGTATGTTTTATATAAACACATATAAATATATATGATATATAATTATTACAATAAACTGCGATTACACCTAAAACGAGACGTTTCATAAATGTCAGTATACCATGTAGACAAAACCCAAATTATATATAATTGAGCAATACTGGTATTTTTTCAATGTAACATCGAGTGCAAGTGTTCAACACTGAAAAGCAGTCCTCGGCGTGTTAATAAGCTTTAGTTTCGTAGCCAAATTTAAACTCATGTTTACAGGTCATTCAAGTACAGATACTCTAAATATAAGTATAAATATTATATGATAAAAAAAAACATGACTAAGCGTTTGTACCAATGAGACGGTTTTGGATACTACTATGTAAACATCATCATGATCCACACGTGGCGACAACAGAAGCCTAATGATGTACTTGAAGTCATTTCCAAGGATTTATAAGGTCATGTAGAACTGGATTGTAAATTTTGTAGGTAAAGCACACTCGGCAACTGCTTGGCGGTCTAGCAGAGTATATATAGGCAAGTCGACGCTGGTGTCTGCACTACATTCATCACTACGCCCAACAACATGAAGTTTGTACGTATTGACCTCTTATAGCCTTACTTGTATAGAATATGTATTTAACATAATGGATATGAAAATTGTTGTAGAGTTTATAAATCACTCAAAAGAAATTCTTTGTTAAATAATTAACTTAACGAGATATTAAAATTATATGAAAAATAGATTGACATCGAAGGTATCAAATAGTATGTCAGAATTCTAATAAAGTCACATAGTGAAGTAGCAAATACCATAAATATTATCTTTCAACACAGGTTATCCTCTCCGTCGTTGTGGCCGTGGCCTGCGCCGCCCCCCAGTACGCCGCCCCTCAAGCACCTACCCGCTATTCAGAGTCAAGTGAAGAAGTGGCCATTTTGAGGCACGATTTTGTACCTGGGGACGCCGGCGCCTACAAGCTTGATGTGGAGACTGCCAACGGCATCGTTGTATCCCAAGCTGGCGCTCCCAGTGGCCCAGAAGGCGCTGTGGTCAAGACCGGACAGTATTCGTGAGTATTCGAATGTAATTATAAAATTTGAGGACTATATGTGATGGTATTGCTTTCGATAATACTTTACACTTTAAATTTGCTAAATCTTTAGCAAATTTAAAGTGTGTAATCAAATGCAATTTGAAACACAAAAATAAAATAATTTCTCCACAGCTACACTGCTCCTGACGGCACTCCCGTTGTTGTGAAGTTCGTTGCCGACGAGAACGGCTACCAGCCCCAGTCTGACCTGCTGCCAGTGGCTCCTGAGTTCCCCCACCCAATCCCCCAGTTCGTGCTGGACCAGATCGCCTTCGCCGCTCAGGAGGACGCTGCCCGCGCCCGTGCTCCTTCTGCCAGCTATGGCGCCCCTCAGTAAAAGTAGCAACAAGGGAAACCTATCGATCAGACAACCAAATATCAAACGTTGCACGATAACTCCTTCTGATCACCAAGAGTAATTTATTACTTAAATATTATTTATGTTTTGGGTATGTGAATAAAACTGATATAGTTCTAACATTTTGTTTTTTAACCAAAGAAGAGTTTTCTATATTACCTTGTTTATTATCTTATTATTATAGCAGAAAATGTAAATACTTATCACAACCTGTCAGGTTGTAAGTTTACAGAGGTTACTCACAACCATTGTAAACTCAATACTGCCTTACGATCATTAATCATCCTAAGAGGTTTTGTACCAACTGGGCTTCAAGAAAAGACCGAGCGTCGTTTTTTTTACCACAGGTCACAAGAGCAAACACAGTGTCCTCACTACAGGTCCCAAGAGCGATCACAGCGCCCTCACTATAGGTCACAAGAGGGGATCACAGCGCCCTCAATACAGGTCACAAGAGCGAGCACAGCGCCCTCACTACTAGTCACAAAGACCACACTGACAATTTACTCATTTTCTCTGCCGCGATAATTTCACTTTCAGGATGCTTCAAAATGTCGTTGTTTCTACTTAATTATCCATTTTGCTGCATATTGGAGACCAGCAAACAGATCTTTTTTTCCCCCTTGAACATTCCATTGTAGTGTATGTGGTGATAAACTATACAAGCCCGGGGAATGAAAGTCTTCAGGTTGCGATTCATGTTTCAAGAAGCCAAAGTCGAGGATGTCAGCTGGGTCAACCATCCAGAGATGGTGTTAAGGTGACTGACCATATGGGTCATAACAATTATCATTGTCATGATAATTCCCAGTCATATTAAAAATGTTTTTTCACTCAGCTTTGTATTTTATTGTTATTATGATGCGAGTATTCATGTACTACTAATCTTCGGAAATCAATTACTAAACGAAACAAAAAGGTGCTATTTACCAATTGAATGAGTTATTGCCAAGGAAAACCATCAGGACAGTGCACGCTGTCGGACAGTGCCGGACAGTGCACGCTTTCGGACAGTGCCGGACAGTGCACGCTTTCGGACAGTGCCGGACAGTGCACGCTTTCGGACAGTGCACGCTGTCGGACAGTGCACGGACAGTGCCGAACAGTGCATGGAGTCGAACAGTGCACGGACAGTGCCGACCAGTGCATGCTGTCGGACAGTGCACGCGACACATCAAGTTCAAGCATGTTTCTTGAAACAAGAAAAAAATACATCTCAAAGGGATAGAGTAGCTTAGGCTATTTCTACCTCTCAACGGTGGGTAGAAATATGTTGGCCCGGTCACACAGTGCTACTGCCACAACGTCACAAAATTGAACTACTAAATTGCCCGAACATAACCTAACTAACGACTCCCCCAGAATGTTACGACGCGCTTTGATTCACAGTACGGCATATTCCGACGTTTGGGCTTGATACGTTAAAATACCATGTATTATTCAAGATAAAAACAGCGCCATCTTTTTCTTAATGTCCTAAAACATTTTGACTATAGAATTATCATTACATTTATTCATAATATAAGTGGCCGGTAATATTTGAAGACCGTCTCTTAACCTTTATTTTGAGCTCTGACAGATCTGACTAATTTTTTATGTGATGTAATGCTGTAAGGGCTAATTAGATTCCATAATGATCAATTATCAATTTCTTAATTAAAGAAAAACAGAATCTGGTGAAAGTAATAATTGTGCAGCAAAACGTCTCTGTGAATCATGTCGGGCCCTGAACAAACATGGTTCCTAAACAAGGCTGGTCTCTGAATAAAGTTGGTCTTTAAACAAAACTGGTCCCTGAACAAGCCAGATCCCGGATCAAGGCTGGTCCCTGAACATGTTAGGTCCCTGTACATAGAGGAAAGAACTATGAAACAAAGCAGAGCGATCTTGACCCCCTTTCTATGATTTTTTTTTTAAGACGAGACAAAGGAGATATATTCACCTTTTACAAGATGCTTCGAGACCTTCACTTAGCGGACAAAACCGAGAGGAAACCATAATATTCTTGGCATCCAGGTGAGCTATTGGGATGCAAGAAAGCACTTATTATTAGTGTCAGAAGGCAATAGGGTCAGACATTGCAATAGGTGACCATAGGCAATAGGTGGTTGCAAGGCAAGATACGGAAACTGACGTTCACCTTTCAAGCACATTCATTTGGGAGATAATGTTATTAAACTTTCTTGACATATGGCTCATGTTGAAGACACTCACTACACATGCTCTAACACATAATCTTAAGACATACCACATACACATCCTTCATAATCTTTAGAAATCGCACGCCACAGATTGATATATTTTAAGTTAGCTAGCTTAGCTAGCGCCCTAGACCACCACGCCAGGGTAAGGTAAAAGCAATGTAACCTCGTGTAGGACTCTAGCTTAGTAGTAGTAAATGAACGGGGTTCGAATCCTCCTCATGGATCATACTGACTTTCTCATTGATACAATCCCGGTATTGTGAATTCATTGTGCATTTGATGAGAAGCGTTAGAGGAGAAGTACAGGACCATTAGACAGAGTGCGTGGGAAGCAATGCTTAAAACCTTGATTGGGCTTAAGTTGAAAGCCTCAGGAATCCTAGAGGATTCAGTGGAATCCCCAGTTCCATTTCTTTTTACCATGTCGTTGGGTGGTGGTCTAGGACGCTAGCTTGGGAATATCAAGTGAGCGGGTTCAAATCCTCCTCAGGCCTCCTACTGATTTTCTAATTGATACATCACCTTAATGTGATTGCACTGTGCAATATCCCCTATGTAATGCCCATTCACCCACTTGTACACTTCGATCACGTACCTCTAACTTTTCGCCTACAGAAATAGAATGTAAAACTTGTTTTTTTTTTTTAATTCTCTCTTCATATCGAAGGTTTTTAATTTGCAGGATTAACTTTGTCCTCCTACCATGTTGTGAATCATTTATTATTCTATTTGTTCAAGATGTTTAACTCCGTATGACTAATGACCAATTGAATATGCTAGACAAGAGTTAACAAGGGTCTTCTTCACATTCTTTAAGCACCCTGGCAAACACCTTGTACTGCCCTTTTTTTTTTGGCTCTTATGATTCATTTTGATTAATAACTACCACCAGTGCAATCACTAAACTAGTCAACCTGTTGAACAAATCCACAAGGGCCGTGACGAGGATTCGAACCTGCGTCCGGGAGCATCCCCAGCCCGTCCTCCAAACAAAGATCCAAAAGTGATTCCATGCATCCGCCAAACCCCCTGTCTATGAATGAAAAGCGGTTTACACACGACTCACAACTGCTGACGTTCGAACATATCCGGAACAAGTACTTCACTGACGAATTTTGTTCGAATCGCAACGCTATAAATGCTTCACCCACGTACTACAAATACAAATAATCGCCAACAGAACCTAAACACCTGACCTAACCTATCCTATGCCTATATATACACAATATGGCAATATATTATAATATTAATTTATACTTGAGAAAATTCCCGTTTTGAATGAACAGCATGTTAAAATTTATGAATGCGTCTGTGGGGTCGACCACTGGATGTAATGGACTTGAGTTGAGGACGGGTTGGCATCCCAGACACTGCCTTAATCGACTGAGCTACGACAGGGTAACCTGTTCTCTTCACCACCAATATATACTTGTTTAGCTGAAGGCATACTGTTATTTTGTTTAGTAAATACAGGAACACAATATTTATTTAAAATAGTACTCGTCTATTGGTGTTCTAGATTGACTTCCACATTCTTAATACTATTACACAAAGCTTTCTTTTTGCATATCGAGATCTTTAGACCCATGGTTATCCACTAGGGGTCATTGTTATTTATTACTCGATCTAATCCATTTGTTACGAATCAGTGTTGAATCAGATTTTAAGGAATCCACAGAATCAAAACTGTAAATATTGTTTTTATAAATGTATTTATATATGAGCTAGTATGTACAGCATAAAGAATAAATAACGAGAAATATCAGTAATGCAGACGTTACGTGGTCAATTTATACGAAAACATTCGTTGAGTGTAAGTGTTTACAGTGGAGGACCGTAGCTAGCAGAAGGACCCGACTTGCCGCGAGCGGCGGCAGCGTCCTCCTGAGCGGCGAAGGCGATCTGGTCCAGCACGAACTGGGGGATTGGGTGGGGGAACTCAGGAGCCACTGGCAGCAGGTCAGATTGGGGCTGGTAGCCGTTCTCGTCGGCGACGAACTTCACAACGACGGGAGTGCCGTCAGGTGCAGTGTAGCTGGGAACAAAATGGGTTTTAGTATAGGGCATATTATTATTTTTTTTCACTCACCAGCATCACACGTTTGTATGATCAAGGACGATGATTTTACTAGAAATTGTCAAATGTTTGCGTAATAATACTCACGAATACTGTCCGGTCTTGACCACAGCGCCCTCAGGGCCACTGGGAGCGCCAGCTTGGGATACAACGATGCCGTTGGCAGTCTCCACATCAAGCTTGTAGGCGCCGGCGTCCCCAGGTACAAAATCGTGCCTCAGAATGGCCACCTCTTCACTTGACTCTGAATAGCGGGTAGGTGCCTGAGGGGCGGCGTACTGGGGGGCGGCGCTGGCCACGGCCACAACGACGGCGAGAACCATCTGTGTTGAAAGGGAACTTTGAGTATGCGTTATTGATTGTATATTTGATAGCTTATTTGAGAATTTGATGGAAAAGAAAGATGAACGTATCGGCCGATCAAGGCCGTTGTCAATACCAAACATTCTGGTGTTGACAACGGCCCTGATCGGCCGAAACGTTCATCTTTCTTTTCCATTTCTCTGTGGATTTTCCGCATACACAAATGGTCAGTGTTTCGTGATCGTCAATTGTAAATATATATATATATATATATATATATATATATATATATATATATATATATATATATATATATATATATAGTATATCATAAACACGTGATTAAGAATGTGACAATGTCAGACCACGAAGGAAAAATGAAACAGGAAATTTCCTTAAGTACTTTCGTATATTAAATACATCTTCAGAAGGTCATTTTACAGATCGAGTGATGGGTATAAATAGGCAGGAGAGAGTGGTGAAGTAAGGTGAGGTACAATACTTGGACAACGCAGAAGGCCCATTGGCCCATCAGATGCACCCAATTGGCCCATCCGATGTAGCCCAATGGCCCATCTGATACAGCAGACATACAAGCATAATACATAGGTAATTATAACATAAAGAGGTAAATATATACAATAAATTAGTGAGACAAATGTTTTTCAATGATTCTACTAAATCGCCCTTTAGCTGATCTATTAGAAATGGATCTAAGTTATATAGACCACTGCTAATATTCAAATTACATTCTTTGGTGATCTGTATCAAAGCGGATTCAATTATGTTTCTGTTATAGGTGCTTTTACAATTTGTTATTGAAGACGCACTCTCCCAATCAATTTGGTGAGCTTTTTCTGACAAATGCACAAACAAAGCATTAGATAATTGGCCATGTCTTACAGAGTATTTATGTTGCGATATTCTACATTTTATTAGCAGTGGTCTATATAACTTAGATCCATTTCTAATAGATCAGCTAAAGGGCGATTTAAGTAGAATCATTGAAAAACATTTGTCTCACTAATTTATTGTATATATTTACCTCTTTATGTTATAATTACCTATGTATTATGCTTGTATGTCTGCTGTATCAGATGGGCCATTGGGCTACATCGGATGGGCCAATTGGGTGCATCTGATGGGCCAATGGGCCTTCTGCGTTGTCCAAGTATTGTACCTCACCTTACTTCACCACTCTCTCCTGCCTATTTATACCCATCACTCGATCTGTAAAATGACCTTCTGAAGATGTATTTAATATACGAAAGTACTTAAGGAAATTTCCTGTTTCATTTTTCCTTCGTGGTCTGACATTGTCATATATATATATATATATATATATATATATATATATATATATATATATATATATATATATATATATATATATATATATATATATATATATATATATATATATATATATATATATATATGCGAACAAGCCTGAATGGTCCCCAGGACAATATGCAACTGAAAACTCATAACTGTTATATATATATATATATATATATATATATATATATATATATATATATATATATATATATATATATATATATATATATATATATATGCGGAAAATCCAGAGAAATATGAAATGAGGTGAACGTTTCGGCTTGTTAAAGCCTTTGTCAACACCAGACTGACCAAGACTGTCAGTCTGGTGTTGACAAAGGCTTTAGCAAGCCGAAACGTTCACCTCATTTCATATTTCTCTGTGGATTTTCCGCATATATATACATATATATGCGGAAATGTATTACATATTTGCATTTTAATGCTTCTGGTATATTATATATAAGTGCCAAATCTATATGTGTTATAAACATTTATGAATGTTTCTACAGTAATTATGCGATGGGCACGTACAAACTTCATGTTGCAGAGTGCTGTAAGGATCTGGTGCAGACTGCACTGTCGACCGACCTATATATACCTGCCTCGAGCACCAAGCAGCTGCCGCTCGCTCATTAGATTTACTATCCAGTTTTCAATGACCTTGTAACTCCTTGGTAATCACAGCGGGTCTGTCATTTGGCGTCTGAGGTCAAAACTAGTCGTCCTCGTCGGTCTTTAGATTTGTCTTGATGTTGAGCATCAAGGCTGTGTGCCACGGGAGAGTTGATGCCGCTTTGTTAGCCTAGTGACCAACCAGCAGGCATGCTGTAGTCTGTAGTCCTGGAGATATTTTAGGAACAAACAGTCCTAAATAGTTTTAGGACTTGAGGAAACTTTCACTGTGTATTCTCTGAGAAGTGCAATATACCTTTCAATGTATATTTGTGCTTTAAACTGAATCTGCTGTGTGACATGCACTAGATTTGTGGGAGTTAGACACGGTGTATATACACAGAGGGTTTTTGTTTTTGTCTAAATTATGTTCAGGTTTAATGTATACTTGCTTTTGGGTCAGTGAGCAATTATGTTGGCATTAAAAACCTTCTCGCGGTAAGTATGTTTCAAGCCCAACAACAAACCAAACCTGAACTCAAACCTTGCGAAACAGATCATCTAGCATGTCTAGTTTATAATATTATCACTTCATTGTAGAATAGTAACAGTATCTGTTTGGCTTGTGCAGATGGTGGAGAGGTTCTGGTTATTGGTCTATCGACCGTGTTGTGAAAATACTACTTGTTCACAAATACTCAACCAAAATCACGGAAATATTACAAGAAAAAATTAACAGAGGTGTTGCCTACACGTACTACTTTGCAAAGGCATTTGACAAATGTGAACATGGAGTGATAGCCCGTAAAATGAGATTAATGGGAATAACAAGTTAGGTAGAGCGATGGATATTAGAATTCCTGTCAAACAGAACGCAAAGAGTAACAGTTAAACAAACAAAATTAAATTCAAACACAGTGAAAAGCTGTTCTAGGGTATTATCCTAGTACCACTGCCATTTTTCATTCTCATATTATATACAGGCAGAAATACCAAGTCACAGTTTCATGCCATCCTTTAAGGATGAATCAAAAGTAGGCATGACAGGCATGACACTTGCTTCTGCACAAGACACTGAAACACTTCAAGCCGATATCAGTAAAGCATTAAATTGGGCAACGGAAAATAACATGATATTTAACAATGATGAATTCCAGATACTTAGGGATGGACAAATTTAAGAACTAAAACGAAATACAGAGTACGAGACAGAATCAGATCTCCGCATAGGAGAAAAACGATATCAGATGACCGTAATGTTTAGTAATTTAACAAAGCAAATATAGCATTGTCAAAAAAGTGATAGTATGGATTATGAGAACCATCAAATCCAGGGATTCCTTTACGTTTTAAATTACTCAATTCCGCTTTCAAAGTGTTATCATAAATATTCCTGGTTGGTGGACTATTGTAGAAAGGCAGCTTGCGAATACCTTCTTGTGTCCATGACAAGGAAGTACAGCGAAATAGTGTAAACAGCCTTCACTCCCAGAGTATCGACACTTAGTGGCGGAAATATGACCTTTGAAGGTCAGCACCTTCTTGATTTATTAAACTCCATTCTGTCACTAGAGCTAAAGCTATAATCAGATACTTAGTATCAATGCCAGAGAAACTGAGAGCATAAACCTGACGTCGGCAACTGTTTACTCAAATGACTGTATATATAGAAAGCTCCAGAGAGGTGCCAGCAACACAGTGCTGCAGTGTCAGACAACATGAAGTTTGTGAGTAGTTTGCTGGATTTGTTCCAGACAAAGCAAATTTGATATATAAACAAAAACATAATAAAGACAATAAAACTACATTATTTTGGTGATTATTTTTAAAACTTTGTATACATTCGATTCAATTATTTAATGAATTAAATCATTCTTCTAAAGTTCATATTGAACATCTTTAGCCAATTATGGTTTTCAACACACAGATCATCTTCGCCGTCGTTGTGGCCGTGGCCAGCGCCGCCCCCCAGTACGCAGCCCCTCAGGCACCTACCCGCTATGCAGAGTCAAGTGAAGAGGTGGCCATTCTGAGGCACGACTTTGTACCTGGGGACGCCGGCGCCTACAAGCTTGACGTGGAGACTGCCAACGGCATCGTTTTATCCCAGGCTGGCTCTCCTGACGGTCCAGAGGGCGCTGTTGTCAAGGCTGGGCAGTATTCGTTAGTATCTCAATGCTAATTTTAAGAATTTGTTTTTGTGATATTTTTTCCTTGATAATAAATATGCCCTATACATGAATATAAAACCCAATTTTGTTCCCAGCTACACTGCTCCTGACGGCACTCCCGTCGTTGTAAAGTTCGTCGCCGACGAGAACGGCTACCAGCCCCAGTCTGACCTGCTGCCAGTGGCTCCTGAGTTCCCCCACCCAATCCCCCAGTTCGTGCTGGACCAGATCACTAAAGCTGCTGAGGAAGACGCTGCCGCCGCTCGCGGGAAGTCTTCTGCTCCCTCCGCCAGCTACGGTGCTCCAAACTAAACAGCTGCGTGCAATGATATTCCATATGACTGCAAGTATGCTCATGGTCCCAATGCACCATAGTGTCATCTCATTATTTATTATCTTTACTCTTTTTAAATTAAACTCGTGTTATAAATATATACGATAATATTTAATATTTCCATGGGTAATTATCAATGACTGATTATGGCTAAAATTGCAACCCGTGCAGCCGGTGGTTGAATAATTCAAACAATAACTGGGACGTCTATAATATGCCTTGCCACCAGTTATTTTGTTTGTCATCTTGCTCCCCATACCAATTCGGGTGGGGTTAAGGATTTTACTCTATATATATATCCACGCCCCAGAAGGATTCGAATCCATGGCGTACGTGGTTCCTTAAACCACTCGACCACCGTGACTGTACAAAAGTCATTGGTAGCCGAAGCTACATCCTGAACGACCCGACAGCACACGTTGAATAGCTTGGATTACCAATGACTATAGTGCTGTCGGGACGTTGGGGATATACCCTCGGCTACCAATGACTTTTGAGCAGTCATTGGGTCGAGTGCTTAAAGTACCAGGTACCCCAAGGTGCATAGTGCTCCTGGCTGTCTGGGTTCAAATCCTTTTGGGGTGAGAAAGTCTGAAGTCGAAAATTGGTGCCACAACAGAGGTTTTATGATTGATCAGCCTACATTCTGGCCTGTGTTATGGTGTTCACAACCTTACGCCCAGCCATTGGAACACAATGAAATCACTTTAGTGCAAGTTACCTTATTGTGCCAAGTATTTTCTCCAACCTGTTTAGATAGTACCTGTTGCGACGATCGTCCATAGTCACGAAGGTTGTGAGCACTATTACCCAGAGGCCATATTACAGGCGGGCCAATTGTAAAACCCTGATTGTGGCCTTCAGAGCTTCCTAGGGAATTCAGTAGAGTTCCGGGATGATTGACTATTTTTCCTGGCGTGACTGAGTGGGTTAAGGTGAGCATCTGTGAGTCACCAGAACGGTGGCAGAAGTCACCTCATTACTTCAAAGGATTTTCTCAATAAATAATATCCACAACTTAATAATTGGTAAATGAAATTATAATTTAGGTATGGTCAGCAAGAGATGTGGTTGTTGAATATTATTTAATTGGGGCAAGATTTACAAGGTTTCATAAAGATAATCTTGGTGGTTTAGGTCCTTACATCACTACATGAGTGCCGGTACCACTGTCCTCTGTATCATCTACGGTTTTCACAAATTGTTTCCATGAAACTCTGTTAACATCACTAATATTTAAATCTGAAAATTAAGTAAATGCTGTTTGGTGAAGCGTCAGGATCACGAGTCGAAAAGAGCCTCTGAAGCCCTTTCCACCTTTCCCTCCCACAGTATGGGTATGGGGTGCATAATAAAGAAATGATATGTAATATAACAATACAAACGAAAGATATGGAGATATACTTTCTGATGAAGACTTTTCTGCGATACTTTTTAGTTACACTGATAAATCATGTCCGTGTTTGTGTAATATTTAATGAGCGTGCGGTAAGTAGTCCATCCTATATTCCAGACGTCTGACTCGACCATCTGTGTCTTTTGTTTACCTTAAAGAATATTGGACAATCTCTAAAGGATACACACAAGTAAAATTATGCTGTATAATGTTTTCCAATTTTATTTTGATTATATATAATATATACAAAATAATAAATAATCAAAAATTACTTTCAAACATAGAAAGATCTATAACTTTTCCGGAAAAACGGCTATTGACATGTTACTGGGGAGGACCATAGCTGGCGGAGGGACCAGAGGACTTGCCGCGGGCGGCGGCAGCGTCTTCTGCAGCAGCGAAGGCGATCTGGTCCAGCACGAACTGGGGGATTGGGTGGGGGAACTCAGGAGCCACTGGCAGCAGGTCAGACTGGGGCTGGTAGCCGTTCTCGTCGGCGACGAACTTAACGAGGACGGGAGTGCCGTCAGGAGCAGTGTAGCTGAGGGGAAGATAACATTCCTGAGTATAAAACTGTTTTTTTATATTATTTTAGAAAGTCTTCCACACATGGACAACACAGTATACTCTCATTTAATTATAATCAATCATGAACTTACGAGTAAGAGCCAGAGCTGGCGATAGCACCAGAGGCTCCTGGAGCGCCAGCTTCTGACACCACGATGCCGTTGCCAGTCTCCACGTCAAGTTTGTAGCCGCCATAATCCCCCTGCACAAAATCGTGTCTGATAATGGGCACCTCCTCGCTGGAGCCACCGTAGCGGGTAGGAGCCTGAGGGGCGCCGTACTGGGGGGCGGCGGCGGCCACGGCCACAACGACGGCGAGAATTACCTGTGTGTTGAGTTGAACAATCAAGAGCAATCATCACAGAAGATTCCTTCCTTTGCATCAACATGTCTGTTTTCTTACTTTATTTGAAGAATTGGATCTAGATTTATGATTTTCAATACTTAAAAGTATGTTAAAAGTACCAGGGATTAATCAATAACAATTGATTGACCTCTAGTATTTTTTATTAAATTTTAACAAAATATTAATATATGTTTTGTGAGTTAATATTAGGATGTTTAATAACCAACACACACACGCACATCAATATATGACTTGTGTTTTATGAACTCTTTCACTTCATATCCGCTCCATGAACAATTTCATTTATATCAAGGAACACTTACAGACTTCATGTTGGCTGCTGACTGTGCAGAGGAACCCTGACCATCAGTTTATATAGCAGAACCCGGTCAAGCAGTTGCCAGTTGTGCTTCACCTACATCTCAGACCAGGTTTTTCAGTGACCTTGTATATCGTCTGTAATGATTTTCCAGCCTAGTCATTAGTTTTTTATACGATAGTAGAATGTACTTCTGGGAAAGGTAGCTCAGTACTCGACGCTCAAGTGAAGTTAGTCTGTCACAAAGAGTAGTTGTTCAGTTTGAATACTTTTTTTCAAATTGTTATATCAATACAATTTTTATTTGTCACTATCAATATTTGTGTGCGTGATGTCGGAGAGTACGTGGGTACTTACCTATGTGTGACTATATGGAATTGAGGTCTAGCTCTCTATACCCCGCCTACCAGCCTTGTTGTACCTGTTGTGTCAAAGCTTCAGTAGTCTAACAATCACTATCTTTGTCGAACCTTTCCTTAAAGTTGTGAATGGAGGTGGCTTATCTTGAGATGATTTCGGGGCTTTTAGTGTCCCCGCTGCCCGGTCCTCGACCAGGCCTCCACCCCTAGGAAGCAGCCCGTGACAGCTGACTAACACCCAGGTACCTATTTTACTGCTAGGTAAAAGGGGCATAGTGTGAAAAAAACTCTGCCCATTGTTTCTCGCCGGCGCCCGGGATTGGACCCGGGACCACAGGATCACTCATCCAGTATTCTGTCCGCTCAGCCACCGGCTCCCTGCTCCCTCCCAGCTATCCATAAACTTTTAGACAACTAGGCTTTACCTCGGTAACTGTGGTCTTCTGGGGAGGGGCGGGGGAGGGAAGTGCAATCATCCTTTGGCAGAGTGCAGCTGCTCATTATGTCATACTGACAACTGAAAGGTTGATAAACGTTTCGTGCGTGTGTGCACGCGCGTGGACGTCGGTAAGATCACATCGATGCCATTTTCAGTTTTCACATCAAGTCTCTATGATCATTAGTAAAGTTTAACGATTAATGAAAAGAAGTGAGTAGAAAACATTCGAGAATTATATTTCCATGAGTGAAAATAGCTTAATGTCTACAATTAATAAATGTTAATAAATTGATACAAATGAATTTTAAACGATGAATATAAGTGAATGAAATGCAGGAAATGGTGTATTATGAATGTATAAATAGTATTAAATACTGTTAATGAACATGTGTTTATATAAAAGAGCTGAGACATAGATTTAACCATAATAAAATAGAGAAACATTCCCCAGACATAATATTGGAACGTTTTAAAATATGTTGCGGAGTTTGGGCTGAGTTGTGAGTCTTGTAAACACCGAGTGTGGTATTAGTTAACGGGCTAGAGGTGTGAGGGATTGTCTCGTGATGATCCATTTACACGATTCCTTCACTATTACACATGGTAAGTTAGCGAGTATGTTACCGTATTCTTTTTTGGGATGTGATAATTATATTAGTGCGATATTTATATAATTTCAGATATGTAACAAAGTGCTTGTGAAAAAGTCATTTGTTTGTTTATATATGTTTAAACTATTTTCTTTTCTTTGCTCATTGCTTAGTATATAAATATATATGGGGCCTGAGGGCTGAATTGACAGCGCTCGGAATTCGTAGTCCTAAGAGTCCGGGTTCGATTCCCGGCGGAGACAAATGGGCAGAGTTTCTTTCACTCTGATGCTCCTGTTTACCTAACAATTAATAAGAGTTAAACAGCTGCTGTGGGCTGCTTCCTGGGTGTGTGTGTGTCTAGAAAAAAATAATCAGTTGATTAATTGGCAGTTGAAAGGCGGGCCCAAAGAGCCAGATCTCAACCCCCGCAAGCACAACTAGGAGAGTACAATTATGTGAGTATATATGCATTACTTTATTACAGTAAATTCTTTAACCAATAGCAATAAATTATATCACAAATAAATCATAAAACCGTGATATATCAATGATAAAATTATTTGATATAATGAGGTGACTTGAACCAGCGTTTTTGTGATTCCCAGACGCTCGACTTAACCCACTCAGCCACGATATGACAAGCCAGACAACCCGGAACTCTACTGAACTCATTGAGAAAGTCTGGAGCCACCAACTCGTGCCACAACCGGTGTTTTATGATTGATCCGCCTACATTCTGGCCTGTGTAAGGGTGTTCACAACCTTACGCCATCCAGAGGAACACAATGAAATCACGCTAGTTCAAGTTACCTTATTGTGTCAAAGCAATTTCTCCAACTCTTCCTCCTGTTTAGATAATACTTGTTGTCACGATTGTCAATAGTCACGCATTCGTATGAACTTAGCTTTTAGATAGTAGTATACTGACTAGTAAGGAATTAAAAAAAAATGAAGCTAAAACAAACATAAATATTTTTAGGCCTAGTCTAGCACAAATACGTACTACATTAGGCCTCAGATATCGTTTATTAGGCTTAAGAAGGTTACGTTAGATTAGTTTAGTTTGTCAAAGCAACACAAGTAATACATTTTTTTAGGTTTGTCCAGATCAATAGTGCCAATTTCTACGTTCTAATTTCGTTGTTCGTCGGTATATATACTATGTTCCTCATCGTTACTATAAGTACTACCAAAACAGGAGCATGGGCTGTTTTCTTATTTATATGTGGTGTCATTTTGATTTCTTTGTCTTGTGAAGGAGTTGCATAAGGCTGTGAGCACTATTACCCACAGGCCATAGTGCAGGCGGGCCAATTGTAAAACCCTGGCTGTGGCTTCCAAAGCTTCCCAGGGAATTCAGAAGAATTCTGAGTTGATTGATTATTTTTTTTCTATTGTGACCGAGTGGGTTGAGGCGAGCATTTGTGAATGACCAGAACTCTGGTTGAAGTCACCTCATTACCTCAAATGATTTTCTCAATAAATAATAGCTACAACTTAATAATTGGTAAATTAAATTATATTGTAATTTAGATGTGGTTGTTGAGTATTATTTAATTGGGACAACATGTACAAGGTTTCAATATAGATCATCTTGGTGGTTTATTTCTTCATATCACTACATGAGTGTAGGTACCACTGTCCTTCTGTGTGTCATCTACGGTTTCCACAGATTGTTTCCAAGAAACTCAGTTGACGTCACTAATAAATAAATCTGAAAATTAAGTAAATGCTGTTTGGTGAAGCGTCAGGATCACGAGTCGAAAAAGAGCCTCTGACGCCCTTTCGACTACCTCCCACAGTATGGGTATGGGGTGCATAATAAAGAAATGATATGAAATGTAAAAATAGTAACGAAAGATTTGGATATATCCTTTCTGATGAAGAGAGACTTTTCTGCGACACTTTTTAGTTACACTGATAAATCATGTCCGTGTTTGTGTAATATTTAATGAGTGTGCGGTAAGTAGTCCATCCTATATTCCAGACGTCTGACTCGACCATCTGTGTCTTTTGTTTACCTTAAAGAATATTGGACAATCTTAGAGATTGGATACACAAGTAAAATTATGCTGTATAATGTTTTGCAATTTTATTTTGATTATATATAATATATACAAAATAATAAATAATCAAAAATTACTTTCAAACATAGAAAGATCTATAACTTTTCCGGAAAAACGGCTATTGACATGTTACTGGGGAGGACCATAGCTGGCGGAGGGACCAGAGGACTTGCCGCGGGCGGCGGCAGCGTCTTCTGCAGCAGCGAAGGCGATCTGGTCCAGCACGAACTGGGGGATTGGATGGGGGAAGGCAGGAGCCACTGGCAGCAGGTCAGACTGGGGCTGGTAGCCGTTCTCGTCGGCGACGAACTTAACGAGGACGGGAGTGCCGTCAGGAGCAGTGTAGCTGAGGGGAAGATAACATTCCTGAGTATAAAACTGTTTTTGTATATTATTTTAGAAAGTCTTCCACACATGGACAACACTGTAAACTCTCATTTAATAAAACTCAATCATGAACTTACGAGTAAGAGCCAGAGCTGGCGATGGCACCAGAGGCTCCTGGAGCGCCAGCTTCTGACACCACGATGCCGTTGCCAGTCTCCACGTCAAGTTTGTAGCCGCCGTAATCCCCCTGCACAAAATCGTGTCTGATAATGGGCACCTCCTCGCTGGAGCCACCGTAGCGGGTAGGAGCCTGAGGGGCGCCGTACTGGGGGGCGGCGGCGGCCACGGCCACAACGACGGCGAGAATTACCTGTGTGTTGAGTTGAACAATCAAGAGCAATCATCACAGAAGATTCCTTCCTTTGCATCAACATGTCTGTTTTCTTACTTTATTTGAAGAATTGGAACTAGATTTATGATTTTCAATACTTAAAAGTATGTTAAAAGTACCAGGGATTAATCAATAACAATTGATTGACCTCCAGTATTTTTTATTAATTTTTTACAAAATATTAATATATGTTTTTGTGAGTTAATATTAGGATGTTTAATAACCAACACACACACGCACATCAATATATGACTTGTGTTTTATGAACTCTTTCACTTCATATCCGCTCCATGAACAATTTCATTACTATCAAGGAACACTTACAGACTTCATGTTGGCTGCTGACTGTGCAGGGGAACCCTGACCATCAGTTTATATAGCAGAACCCGGTCAAGCAGTTGCCAGTTGTGCTTCACCTACATCTCAGACCAGGTTTTTCAGTGACCTTGTATATCGTCTGTAATGATTTTCCAACCAAGTCATTAGTTTTTTATACGATAGTAGAATGTACTTCTGGGAAAGGTAGCTCAGTACTCGACGCTCAAGTGAAGTTAGTCTGTCACAAAGAGTAGTTGTTGAGTTTTAATATTTTTTCTCAAATTTTTATATCAATCCAATGTTTTATTTGTCACTATCAATATTTGTGTGCGTGGATGTCGGAGAGTACGTGGGTACTTACCTATCTGTGACTATATGGAATTGAGGTCTAGCTCTCTATACCCCGCCTACCAGCCTTGTTGTACTCGTTGCGTTAAAGCTTCCCAAGTCTAACAATCACTATCTTTGTCGAACCTTTCCTTAAAGTTGTGGCTGGAGGCGGCTTCCACAACTTCTTCTCTAAGTGCATTCCACA